TATTCATAAATTTCCAGACACCCTTTATGTAATTAAATGTTATTCGCGCGTATATTGATAGGAACGAATCATAAGATGTTATTGCTACATAGTAGTGGAATAAATAATTAAAGTGCTAGGAACGCGCCGTGGTAGTTAATGATCACTTCGCGACGCAGTATTCGCGCCCTTATGTTAAAATCATTTTCAAGTTGAGAGTGAAAGAAGAGGAGGAAGAGAGGGGAGGAGGAATGAGACTGACAGGCAGCGATAGTTAAGGAGGGTTTAAGGGGGTTCCAGGACAATGCGAATCTGTAATTATAAGCGCGCCGGTCTTGTGCTTTTACTTCCTTTTTTTCATGTAAAATCTCTTGCAGCCCCGTATTATCGCCTTAAATCAACAAAGCCGCTCCTCTGGTTCGGCATTTGGAAAGGGATGGGAATGATAGAGGGAGAGGAGAGTTTTAAGGTCGGGAGGGAGATAAAGGGTAACCTGCAGGGCAACAAGAGAGAGAGAAAGAGGGACTTTAATAACAGGTCTCGCTTAATAACCTACGTCCCGCACACGGTCCAAACTGAATGTCATTGCAGTAGATTCGATCACGTGACTCGGCACTGTTCGTACGGCAAGAAGGCATAGTGCAATCGACTTTCGTGAGATATGGTATATAACCGGGAGATACTGGACAACGATCTTTGATCGATTAATTTGGTGATACGTCAAGTTCACTTGTCGTCAATCGTATTGATAATTTATTTTACAGATTTCTGTACATATGCTATGAAAAAATTACACATATATGTATACGCTATATAGAAGATGCCCATACAGCACAGAATTTGCAGCAATATCGCTGCAATATTGCTACAACGTGCAATACTGCTGCAATGTTGCAACATTCTCAAACAGCCATCTACGTTCTGACAAGATTATAGAACGATATCACAAACGTATGGATATCGTCAAGATATTCGAAACATGTCTGTGACGTACAAAGTATTTCTTTAGAATCTACTATGTCTGCGGTTGTTCATTCCATAGACTTTCGCAGGAAGCTTCTAGTGATATACCCTAATTATTCTAAGATGTACGAATATGTCTTCACTATATTTCCAGTACGTCTCTAGTATGCACATACACACATACATACATATATATAAAATCTCGCGCACACGCTTGCATGCTGAACGAATTAGTATTTGCACAGTGCAAATGCTACTATAAAATAGTAAATATTTTCAAAAAAATTAAAATTTTTTAAAAATATTTCCTATTTTATAACAATTATATTATGCAAATACTTATAGTTCATTCAGCAACTTTTAATTAATATCATTTTTTCAAAAAAAATTTAGGTTAATAAAATAATCCAATATATATAATTTCACCGTTTTTTATTTAATTACATTGTATTATAAAGTTTTTAAAGTCATTTTATTAAATTGTAAATATAATTTTGTTTTTTGTTTCATATATTATTGTTATCGCCGTAGTAAAACATATTTATACATACGATAGAGATATGGAAGAAAAAGATTGTTATACATCTCACATGTGCTTACACAACATCACACTCATACGTCATAGCTACATATGAGAAAAAAGAAAAAATGACCTTTCTTACAAAGCTTTATCTGTCGCATTAAACTTGCTTTAAAAATGCAATGCTTTAAAAATATAAGAAAATGATATATATATATATATTATATAATACAGGTATTGCCAATGATTGCTAAACTTGGCAAATCAATGGCAAAAATCGCTTAACTATCTAAGGGCTTAAAAAGATCCTTTCCATCAACATTCGTTATCTCGTCTTACTTCGTACTTTTCCTCTTGTGATTATCCCTAGTATTGTTAATAATCCGATTTTGCAGTCATTTTACACTTATTATTGATTTATTTAGTGCCTTGTGTAAATGTCTATTTGGTTCTTTGTATTATATTGTATAACAGAGTTGTCTAAATTGTAGCAATACACAAAGTAATTATATTTTGCCTTACTTTACCATGATTTTTAATAGGAAAAATAAAATAACATATCTTTAAAGTAAAAAAAATCAGAGAAAAAAATTGATAATTCATGCATAAGAAATTGCGCGGAAGTCGCAGGTAACTTTAAAGTATTTGATCTTTCAATATTTCTTTTTATATATTAATATATTCTATCAGTTAATATATTCTATCTAGCTGCGTCAGCAATAAATCTGTTAGCGTAAGTGCCAGATGTAACAATACATATACTCTCTGAGGAAAAAAAATATAAATTGATATAAATCAACAATACAAGAGATGCAATTAGAAAATGTAAAAGAAAACGTGGAATTATTTCGTAATTTTATGTGATAAAATTAAATTTGAAAATTTCAGATATGCTTTATTTATATTCTAGAAAACGACATTAATGTCTCAGTCTTCAAAATTAATAATCTTGT